CGCCCCAGAGACTCCTCGAAATGGAGTTCACCCTCGAGCCTGGTGTTGCTGTCCACTGCTGTATTGTATTAGACTGATGTGTTTATCTTTCCTACTAAACCAAAAGCTATCTAAAAGTAAGACAGTCTTCCTCACATCTGAATCCAACCTATGCACAGGAGACACCTGTAAACTTTTTATTGTATGAAATGAGGTCCATACTTGCTCTCCTGACTCTTATTTCCCTAAATTATAAAGATAATAACACCTAATCCTTCCCATCACACATCTGCATGCCCACGAATGTAATCAACACTGTACACACGCCAATTACCTTCAGGCTCACGACAGTCCCGAGGAGGGGGTGCACTATGATCTCCATTTTACAGATGGAAAAGTAAGGTATTATTATACCCTGGTTAATTTGCCCAAGGTCAAGGAGTCAGGATTCAGAACTAATATGATCTGAACCACTCTGCTGCATCATATCTAACTCCTCAAATCCACACTAGTTTATCCTATTGTTTGGTAAATTTGTCTGTGATGATAGCCACATGACTGGCTAAAAAAACTTGAAAATAAACATAGTTTCTGTAGATATGATCATAAATTTCTGCCCAAAATGAACATGGCAGCAACTGGAGCCTGGGGCATTTACTTCTAGGCTAAAGGTATTGCCTTTACTACAGACCCTTTTAACAGGGCCTACCTTAAATGTCTGCTTGTTTATGGCTCTAAGGGTAGAACCGAGGGCCTCCAACATGCCAGGCAAGGCCTCTACCACTGAACGACCACCCCAGAAACTGCTTCTCATGTAACCTCCAATCAAACCCCATGAGTTCTCAGACCTCCTAGTCACCCTGATTGAACCAAACCCAGGCTCCGTGAGTTGAAAGTTAAAAGGGCCTATGCAGTAAGTAGCACGGATGGCCATAAGGCCAGGAAGCCCTTGGGGACAATAGCCAAACTGTTTTCTGGTCCCTGTCCTCTTGAGCAACTGAGCAATGCTTTTAGGCAGAGGGACAGCAGCTTAATTTAGTCCATAAGCAGGAGAGCAGAACCATGGGATGAACTGTGCTACAACTAAACTGGTCAAGACAGAAAAGGTTGCTGCTGTCATAAAATTTACTGTTCAGTGGTGAGGGACAGAAAATTTTATAAAGAAAAGGAAAATGTAGCTTAGGTGTTACAGATGGTGACATTCGCTGTGAAAAATAAAGTGGGATGAGATGGGGGAAAGGGCGTGTGTAGAGAAGTTACCGTAGACAGAACGAGCAGGGAAGACCTCGGGAAGAGACATCCTGAGAGCTGAGTCCTGAACGTCAGGAAGGAACCAACCTGGGAGAAGGGTCCAGGCGGAGGCATAGCAGGTGCAAATGCTCCAGGGGCAGGTGCTGTGTGCGTCAGGGACGCGAGGAAGTCCTGTGAGCAGAGCGCTTGTCAGGAAGAAAGATTTGGATAGAGCTGGAGAGGAACGGAGGGAAAACTAATGTTAATAGCACGACAACGGCACGATTCAAAGCGCTCTGCTAGGTGGCACGCAGTATGCAGAGGGATAAAGCTCTTATCTCAAATATGTTTTGAGGTATTTGGTTAGTCTATGTTTGGAAAGACTCTCACACATAGTTTAAGGGTTGCTTTTTCTTTCTTTTTTTACTTTAAAAACATTGAAACTCCAGACGATTACCTTAATCATCTGAGAAATTTTATTATGCCTTAGTCTCTTTGTCCATTAATTAAAGATAGCATAATTTTACTTTCCCTCACACATGGGAATTGCTATTGATACAAAATGACTGTTATTAGAACAAATTGTTGCCACCTGCCTTGCAAGCACAAGGACCCGAGTTCGATCGCCCGTAGGGAAAAAAAAGAGAACAAATTGTTAAATACTACCCTTTAATTTTGATAATTGCACAAGACACAGTGACTTGCAAAGATGATGCAGAATCTATAATCCACTGTTCTGCAGAGACAAATATTTTTTTTTCCTCCCCTTTTCTCACCTAAAATTAATTTTGATCCAAGAGCACAGTGGCAGTGCTTTTACTTTGGAACTGAACTGGCAGAGGAAACCCAGGGGAGGAAGTGGAGGAATTCCAGGATCCAAGGACAGAAGAGGCGGGGAAAGGGGGTGCTTGCAGCCAGACATAAAACATGTGAAATCCCCATTGCCTAATGTCCTAACAGGTCCTGCAATAGAAGTTACAGAATATGAATGGCATGTATTTCTTTATTCTGTGGGAAATAGGGTAGAGTTTATTCATTCACCCACTGAGCGAAATATTCAGTCACCGAATACTATGTGAGCCAGACTTCCATAAGGAAGTGACCCCTGCCTCCCAATCCCTACCACTTTATGTGTATGTTAAGAATGATGTCCTGAAATAGTTGCTTCCTTGGGACTAGAGTGAAACCATATCTTAGAGTAGGAATTGAAGTCTTCTAATGTCATTCATCCATGGAGTCATTGAATCCTGAGTGGGGAAACGAGAATTTAGAAAGAGTACTTTGGAAGGAATCTCTCTCTCTCTCTCTCTCTCTCTCTCTCTCTCTCTCTGTTTTTTCAGACAGGGTCTCACTATGCAGTTCAGGCTAGCCTCAAACTTACTAGGTAGCCAAGTTCAAACTACTGACTGATCCTCCTACCTCAGCCAGCCATGTGCTGGAGTTACAGGCGTCACCACCACACTGGGTTCTTTTCTTCTCTTGAGACCATGAAAGTGGCCGTTGGCGGATGTAGCAGGTAATTAGTCCTAGGGAACCCTATGAATTCCTAGAAGGGAGTCCCTATTCTTGGAGCTCCCCTTCCCCATACTAGGGATAAAACCCAGGGCCTTCAGGGTGCTACCACTAGCACTCTACCACTAAACCACATCCCCAGCCCTTTTTATTTTGAGATAAAGTCTTGCTGAATTGCACAGGCTGGCTAAAACCTGTTATCATACAGCCTCAGCCTCCCTCATAGCCAGGTCTACAGGCATGTGCTACCACACCTAGCAGTCTTGGAGTTTGAGTGCAGTCAGGTTGATGAAGCAGCTGGGCTGTGATGATCTAGAGGAAGGGCCTGTGTTGAGCTATGGTGTCCATGTAGTCACAAGGCACTGCCAGGGGCTGTCAGTGAGGTCCCCTAGAGCAGGTCAATGTCCAGGGCAGGGGGTCCCTAGGAAATCTCCTTCCTTGGGTTATTGCCTTATACTCAGTGGAGCCAGCTGGGTTTCTAACAGGCTACTTCTGACCTGGGTGTTGATTATAATAATTCTGTATTTAATTTAGATCTTATCTAAAGGATATAGGATATTTGCTCTTGAACAGCAGTGATCCTAAGGCTACTTTCATTATTGCAAGACAGGCAAAAACAACACGTAAGTAGTGTGATACAGCAGCGCCCTAAAGAGCCCTAACTTGCTGCCTAGTGTCAACCATTGTGAAAGGGTCAGGGAGGTCATAGGTGAGAACCTCAAGCTTAGTGGAACTGTCATTTTAAACTCAAACTTTTAACTGACCAATTGTGACAGCCCATGACCGCCCAGTGATTTTCATTATCATCACGGCATGAGAAGACTGGCCTTGGGATTTTCCTTCCATCCAGCTTGTATAGCAGCAGTCTCTGGCCTGAAAGCTCCATGCCTGTGTGACGCTCAAGATCGGGGTAGAAGGGCAGAGTCTCCCTTCTTTGTGAGCCATGTGTGTGCATGTAAGTGCCCCATTACCAAAGATCACCCAAAGGTCATGTTCTTCTTTAAGATGATAACATTTCTAAGTTAAAGATGATGCGGAGCCATGTTGACTTCTTATTGAGCCATTATGTAACTTTTATTTACAAAATGATCAGTCATTATTTGCACTGTTTGAGATCTCTTGAATTCTCAGAGCCAGTTTCTTCCTCCTATCAACTGAATGAAGGCGTCTGGTGTTGAAGCAACTTCAGAAATGACAAGGCACTTTCTACTAAGGAATAAAACAATGGTCCTCTTTCCTTCTGAGAATTAAATAAGCCAACATGAGACTTAAGTGCTAACATTTTCTCTTTTTTTAACAAGCAAAAACTGTTTTTAACCCAAGTATTAAGAGGTAGCTCAGCATGATGGATAGAATGAAAAGTGGGAAGTAAAGATTATAATCCCCACTGTAGAATATTGAGAAGCCATTCATTCCAACCGTTCTTCAGTTGGCTCACCTTTAAGGTAGGAATAACTGTTTATACAATTTTGTGAGAATAAAAAGTTAAAATAGGGTTGGGGGGCATAGCTTAATAGTGAGACACTTTCCTAGCATTTTGAGAGGACCTGGATTCAATGCCCAGCACAGTGCAAAAGAAAAAAAAAATTTAAATACTTTGTGCAAAGCTCAGATCTGTTTGCTCAAAGGATTCCATTAAGATCAAAACATATGAATTAGCCTGGTGTGGTGGCTCATGCCTGTGAGGTTAAGGCGGGAGGACCAGGCAAGTTCGAAGCTAGCATGGGCTACATAAGTAAGCTTAAGACCAGCCTGAAGTATATACTAATACACTGTCTCCAAATACATGAATAAACTTAAAAATAAAAGTTGGAATTAAAGAGTGGCACAACTAGACTTAAATATTCCCCTCTTGGACACCAAAACGAAACAAAGAAGGAGGAAGATGTGTCCCCACAACAGTTATTGCACAGCAAGTTTCTGCCCCCTGAACCAGTAAGTAGAGAATTTTAGCAATGCAATGTGAAGACATGCATTTCTTTTAAATATTTCAAACCCAGCTCTCAAGATTCATTTTCCTCTTTGATAAGGGATCGGACAGAAGTGCATGTTCCCCTCCAGGAGCTACCCTTCTTGACAAACTGGTCTCCAATGATACCTTTCAGAATGTTACAAAACTCCCAGAATGAAAAGAGCACAAGGTTGGTCGCATTCAACTTAAATGCTTTTATTGACAATATCTTAGAACAATAAGCAAACAATGCTTAAATTTTTCATTCAAATTCACTTTCCACATGTCAAAAGACCTCAAGGTAGAAAAAAATAAAATAAAAATATAAATATCTGAGAATCCATCTTAATAAATAAATTAAAAACACAATAAAACGTTTTCATGGAAAACTGTTAATGTCAGAACATTCAGACCACCTCAACAATGCATGATCAGTAACATTACAATGAACATTGATGTTGAAGAAAAACTACAGTACATGGATATAGCTATTTATTTCTATCTACTAGAAAATAAAGTCATATCTTTTTCTTAGTTTAATATTGGTCATGTCTAATCAGAACACACTATTGCCAGGAACACAGTAGTTATTGTTAAAATCAGCTGCACTAGATACAATTTGAAAATATCCAGCACCAAGTTAATTCCAATAATGTACCCAATAGATTAGTTAATGCTATGAGAAGACTAAGGAAAAAGAGAAAGAGACACAGACCCAGGCCTGGCTCAACATGCTACTAACTACCAGCTCTCAGATGTGTCACTGGAAACAATACACACTCCATGCGTTTTGCTACATCTTCGGAAGAGGTAAGGACTTGAGTCCACCTGTGGATGCTTTCAAGTCCTTGAGACCCACAGCCTGGTGTGTTTCACGCACAGATAAGGTCTTCCCTAGGTCTACGGGAACCCTCGAGGGAAGACGTGTTTCTCCTCTCTGTAATGCACCACTCAGGCAGTGGCACTTGGGTGCCTGCTGCCTCCCCTTCTCTGCCCGCTCACAGGGCCAGCAGCGTGGGTGAGCTCAGTGAGTCAGAGGAAGGCTCATTGCTGCTACTGCCCTTGCGGTGGGCAGCGGCGCAGCTGGGGAAGGAGTCAGCCTCTGGGTAGGTGAAGACGAAGGAAGACGTGTAAGTAGTGCAGCTGGGAGTACAGGTGACCACTGGGGTGCACAGGGGCTCCAGCTCTGTGGCCATGGGCCCCATCCCCAGAGAGCCGCTGTGCAGGGGCTCCCAGTCTGCTGCATAGAAGGAACCAGACAGGTCCATATCTGGCACGGAGCGGGCGGTCTCAGAGCCGCTGGGCCTGGATGACACGGGGAACATGAAGTCATCAAAGGGCTCTGCCTTCAGTTCCATGCTGCTGACGCTCTTGACAGGCTCCACCGATGGCTTGGGCTCAGGGTCATTGAGCAGGGGCAGCGTGAAGGCCTCCTCAGACTCTGGGGTGGCAGCCTCCTGCAGACCCCCACTCAAATCCAGGGACGACACAGACATCTCTTCTGGAAAGCCCAGGTCATCGGGGATCTTGCAGGCAGGTCGGTGAGCCGCCAGGATGAACTCTAGTTTCTCCTTCTCCTTCAGCAAGTTGGCAATCTCAGTCTGCAAAGCAGATTTCTCATCTTCAAGTTGGTCTGTCTCCTGTAAACAGAGAGATAGAGGAAAGCATGAGACACAGCCATACACAGGGTCCTGCTCCATTATGCCCACTCTGCAATGTTCCACCTAAGTTTCAAAAGGTATGACCCGTGGCTCTACGTACCGCTTGGAGTGTATCAGTCAGCTCCCTCCTCCGGTTTCGGCATTTGGCTGCAGCCATCTTATTTCTTTCCCTCCGGATTCTCCTTTTCTCTTCTTCTTCAGGAGATAACTAAAATGATGACAGAAAAGACCCACGGTCAGTAACAGTGTCTGCCATTCACCCAGCCCAAGGGAAACTGGCTCCTGCAGCTGCACCTCTCTGGGAAGCCCTTTCTAACCTGCAGTTGCAGGCTGGGTGTGACTTGCATTTAAAGTAAGATTCTCAGCCAGGGAACAAAGACAAGCCCAGGCTAAAACATGAGGTAGGGAACTATCAGGGAAGAAACTACTAGGGCACTTCTTGGGGAGGGACTATCAGAGTCTCAGAGTCGGACTTGGGATGGAAGAGGCTGGGCATTCCGATGAGGAAGTGCAGTCAGCTCCATCCGGGCTTCGCCCCTCCACCTGGGTTCCAGTCTCCCCACTGCCTCTCCACCCCACCCCCACTGTGCAGAAGGGCTCCTCACCTGTTCCATCTTGCCCCTCCTGCCGATGCTCTGCGCTCTGCCTCCATTCATGCTCTTCACTACTGCAGCCCTGGAGTAAGCTCCAGCAGCGGGGGTGGGGACCCCATACGGGTGGGGGGCTCTGGTCTGCGATGGGGCCACGGAGGAGACCAGGGTGGGCTGCACCAGCCACTGCAGGTCCGGGCTGGTCGAAATGGCAGTCACCGTTGGGATGAAGTTGGCACTGGAGACAGCAAGATCCGTACAGAAGTCCTAAAAGAAAACAAAAGGGGAAAAGCCGACGTGAGCGGGCAGGTTCTAGGCACAGGTGCAGTGACCGGAGTTAGTGCCGCATGCAGCAGGGAGAGAAAGCGAAAAACAGTCTTGTTGCGGACTGCCCAAGTCTTCTATGCCTCTCCTGCGGGATGAAAGCTCTCCCGCTTTGCCCCCAAGAAATCCGCAACGCAGTGCCTTTCCTTTCCATCCTGCTGCTGCCTTCCCGTTATCCCTTCAGCCTCACTCGCTTGAAAGGGGGTTTGTTATAAATATCCCTGACGTCTGAGCTGACGCAGGCGCCGCTCCGGAGTCTCCAGAATGAACTCGCTTTTTATCAATGAAACTGCCTTACACACCGCCCGCTGCACCCTCCTCCCCGCGCCCTCCTCCCGGCTACAGGCTGCCCTCGGAGGGGGCATTGCTGCTTTCTGCCGTCTCCCCAGAGCAGTCAGGCTGAGTTAGCAAGTCTCTGCTAGGGACTGTTTGCTCCAGCTAACGTCAGAGACAAGTCCCAGAGCGCAGTGCAGGGGGGCGAGTCAGGATGAACCTGTCGCGGGAAGGGGAGCTAAATCTTACTATGACAAGCGCGCGTGCGTCCAGAACAAGTCCCAGGCTACTCTGGCCTCGGAAACTTCCCTCCGGGGAAAAAGGGAGACTTCGACTGGTGTCCCTGAGCGTCCCGTCCCAGGGTCTCCAATTTTCGGCGAGCCCAGCCTCCCGACCCCACAGCGACAGGAAGCCAGCTTACCTGCGTATTGACGGGAGAACCCATGCTGGAGAAGGAATCGGCCGGCGAATGGTAGTAGGAGAGACTGTCCCCAGCTGGGGAGGCGCTGCTGCAGCGGGAAGAAGCCGCCTCGTAGTCAGCGTTGAAGCCCGAGAACATCATAGTCGAGGAGAGTGAAAGCCGGGCTAGGGGCCGAGGGGCGGAGACAGGTGGGAGTTGCGGAGCAGAGCTGGGTAGGAGCACGGTCACTGCTCGTTCGCTGCGCCGCCGCCGCCTGCTCTGTCTCGGTTTCTAGCCTGCTAGCTGCAGATGCGGTTGGAGTACTAGGCGCCGCAGCCACAGCTTTTATAACGGCATTTTATGAATGAGCTCAACGTCACTGGGCGCAACCACTGCGGCACAGGGGGGAAAGCGCGCTCCCGGATACCTCTGGCGCCGCCTGGCCACCTCTGCCGCGCTCTCAGTCCCCTGCCCGTCTTGCCGTGTGTCCTCATCCTAAGGGTATTTTGTATTTAGGGTCAGAGGGGTCTCTTGGGCCTCTCTTCTTGCGGGACCTCTAGAGGGCTCCCCCCACGACTACAGGGAACGGCCGTGGAAACCTGCTGACGCAGATGTCCTAATATGGACATCCTGTGTAGCGGGTTGGGGGAGGGATTGACGGGAACTGCTCGCGGGCTGCAGCCAACACAGAGGGTGCAGCGCAGGCGGGGGGCAGGGGAGGGGAGGCGGGACAGGCGGAGAAGGCCAGCGAACATTCTCACCTGGTCAATGCAGACCCTCGTCCCCCGGGTCAGAAGGGACGGGGCGGAGGTCGCCTCTTTATTGTCCAGAACCAAAGGGCAGCTCTTAGCCTCAAGAACTGGAGAAACAGGTACAAGGCCCTGAGGGCTTGAAGCCTCGGCTCTTGAATGAACGCGTCCCTATCTACAGCCCCCCCTCAGCCCTAATTCAGTGCAAAATGTGGGATCAGACCCTCAGCCCCCTTGCCTCGAACCTCGGAGCTCGAGAAATACTAGGACTGCGTTTGAAAGAGAAAATGGAAGATCCAAAACAAGAATACGATAAGCTACTTTATCTACGACGCTGGGTTCAGTCATTCATCCATCCATTCACTCGTTTATGTTTTTAAGGAAGACGGTGCACTTATTTTGTTTCTTGGCCATATGTAAAGATATTAGTGTTACTGTCAAATCCGAGACTCCAGCCAATACACATTGTGCAAAAACCTCTACGCAAAGGATGTCAAGAGGTCCTGTGCTTTGTATCTGACCTGGGGCGGGGGGGCCTTGTGTGTGTGGGCAGGAGGGTCAGTTCAGGATTACACGTTGAGGTGAGCTTCTAGGGACAACGTAAATCCGCACTGGGGAGACGCGGGGGAGGGGGCCTGGTTCGGTCCCGCCAGGAAGCTGCGCTTACAGGGAGCCCGCAGTGGGTGATTTTCCAGCTCAGACTTGGAGAGGGGAGGACCTGGGGGGACTGAAAGCGTCGTGCCTAGCAGCGGCCAGGCTGAGACCTCGACTGCTGGGACCCCAGGAGCGGCTCTGCGTCCCGGAAAATGAGGCTTTGGGAAGGCAAGGTGCCCCAGAATGCGCCATCCCTCCAGACGCCCCAGCCTCCTGCCCCCCTGCAAAGGACAGCCGAGGTCACACTGTCCTGGCTGGGCCCCAGAGTGCCGGCCACCTCTGGGGCAAGACTCCGCTGTTCCCTTGTCCCCTCCCCCACTCTTTGGGCCCCGGGGTTAGAGTCCAAGGTGGGCAACCAGACAGAAGGGAGGTAGCAGGAGACGGATCATTAGGGGTGCTCAGGGAGTGGAACCGCGATCCTGCCTTCTGCCGCCGCACCCGGGAGCCAGGCGATCCTGCTATAGATAGTAACAGGGAAGCGGCTGTTTACAGCAACACAGCTCCGCCAGGGCCGTCTCCAGGCGACGCCGAGCGACCCGGCCACCGGTCGGCCCAGCGAAGCCGCCCACCCTCCGGGCTCCCTAGGGGGTCTAGGCCTTCTCAGACCGGCTACGGCCCCTCCAGCCGCCTGACCTCAACCTCCGGTCCCGGGCTGAGCGCTGCTCGAGTCCGGCTGTTCGCTAATCTCCATTCTTAGAGATCTGACCCTGGCGGGGAACGGGAGTGCAAGAAGGCGGGGATTCGTGGAACTGGGCCATTTGCTATTTTTGCATTCCCTGTCACAGGCAGAGGTGAAAACAGAATTTCATCACTGTATGTCACTGGTTTATGTTGGTGGGAATTTAAGCCTTTCTTTTCTTTCTCTCTCTTTCTCTCTCTCTCTCTTCCCCCCTCCCCCTCCCCCGCCTCTCTCTCAAAAAGGAGGAAAGGAGAAAAGGAAAAACATACATAAAACATAAACACAGATTTCTTGGAGCTGCTCTGAATCCTAAAGCAATTCTGTAGACTTCAAGTCTCCTAATTCTATCATCTATCAGGCTATTTCACTGTCCTTGATTAGTGGAGAAAGAAACATGGAGAGGGGTTATGAAGACAGATCCATCTCTCCTCTTATTATTAGCTTTGACAAAGTAGGTCAAGCTTTGAATTTCTGGGTCTGGCCTTGCCTTCCATTCACAACTGGATCTCAGAGCCACTTAAGAGAAAACCTAGAATGATTTGATTTACTTCTCCTTCAAGTCTGAAGCAGCTCAGGCCAACACACCTAAAAGATGTGTCAAGATTTTATATCCAGGATTTATCTCAAATATTACTTATCCTGCCTTTGCCAATAAAGAAAAGAAACAGGGTCTTTGGGTGAACCTGACTCCTCCAAGATAGCTTAACTCTTTCCTTCCTGGAACCATTATCACCAGAGAGCTGAGATTTAATACAGCCATCCTCTAAAAATGACAGACCATATCCACTCTTTCTGTTGTTTATTTAACCAAGAAATATGGGCTCTTGCAGGCCTAACAGTAGGCTGGAGCTGATGCTCGCTGTATTGAACAAGGTGCACCTGTCCCTACCCTCAGAGATTCCAGCCTCATGGGGAGGGCGGACAAATCAGTGGAGGATTGCAGGGCAGCAGTAAGAGGTTTGACAGAGGTAAGAACAGAAAGCTACAGAGCACAAAGAGGAGACAGGTCCCAGAAGAAGCGACTACAATCAGAGATGGGGCCTGGATTTTCTGTCCTCTGAGTAATGAAATGATGGGGCTTGGGAGCTGTGAGATTACATGGTAAAATCCCAGATTCCATCTCATGTCCCATTAACATCCGTACCTCTGCTCAATCTAAGACATATGCACATCTCAATCTGCTTGGGGTATATATTTCAGGACTACAAAATCACATGTTAAAATGTGGAGCCAGCAGGCCAGGGATTTAACTCAGTTATGCCACCTCCTGCCTGGCAAGCACAAGGCTCCAGAAAAAAAAAAAAATGTGGAGCAGCAGTGGGTTCAATCCCCAACACGCCAAAAATAAATAAATAATTAAAATAAAATGGAAAAGGAAGCTGGAGATATAGCTCACGGGTAGAGTGTTTGCCTGGTATAGTCAAGGCCCTGGATTTGACTTCCCACACCTCCCCTGCCAAACAATAATAATAATAATAATGATGATAGTAAAAGTAAAAAAAATGAAGTTGATCCAATAATCCCAGTCCCACAGGGAATGAAATCACTGTGTTTAAAGAACATCTACACTCCCATGTTGATAGCACCATTATTCACAATAGCCAAGATTTGGAAATAACCGAAGTATCCATCAACAGAGAAGCAGACCTATAAAATATGGTATATATACACCATGGAATATTATTGAGCCTAAAAAAAAATCAGGGTTGGGCGTGGTGGCACACTCCTGTAATCCCAGCACTCTGGAGGATGAGGCAGGAGGATTGCTGCAAGTCTGAGGCCAGCCTGAGCTTCATAGTGAGCTCAAGGCCAACCTGCACTACATAGTCAGAAACTGTCTCAAAAAAACTTTAAAAACCCAGCAAAACAAAGCAAAACAAAAACCCCAGAAAATTCTGTCATTTGTAACAACATGGATGAAATGAAAAGGCCTTATGCTAAGTGAAATAAACCAAACATAGACAAATAAGTACCAAATGATCTTACTTATACTTGGAATCTAAAAAATGACAAACTCATAGACATAGTAGTGGTTACCACAGTCAGGAGGAAATGGGTGGTTAGGAAAGGGGGAAGGCTGGCCCACAGATATAAAGCTACAATTAGGAGGAATAAGTATGAGTGTTCTTTTGCAGTGTGGTAACTACAGTTAATAATAATATATACCTCAGAATAGCTAAAAGAGGATTTAAATGTTCTCCCTGCAAAAAAATATATAAATATTTGAAGTGGAGAAGCTAATCATTCAGATTTGATTTTTACGCAATGTGTACATGTATCGAAATACTTCGTACTCCACAAATATATACAATGAGTTTTTATCAATAAAAAATAAAGCTTGCCAGGTGGGGGGGGTGCACACTTGTAATCCCAGCACTCAGGAGGCTGAGGCAGGAGGATCACTGTGCGTTTGAGACCAGCCTGGGCTACATAGTGAGCTCCAGGTCAGTCTCAACTACATAGTGAGACCCTGTCTCAAAAAAACCAAAAAAATATAATAATAGTAATAATAATAATAATAAATAAAATAAAGCTTTTTAAAAAGAAGCAGAGCACACACACTAAGCATAAAAATTAAGGCAAATCAGAGCTGATGTGTGAAATTATCTTAGCAATAGGCAAAGGCCAGAGTGACTCTGAGACAGGTGTGTGCACGCCTCTGTGATCAAGGTGCCTCCTCCCAGCAGGGCAGGGATTCCACGCTCTGGACTAGCCTGAGCACGTAAAACCAGGTAGGTGTGATTAGCTATGTGCTGAGTTCCTCCAATTTGGGGATCCAGAAGTGAAAAGGAGGATAAAAACAAATCTCATACCTGACTTTAAATCAAATTGAAAACAAATTCATTTTGTCCTCAGCTGATTTTCCTTGTCACTTGGGGACTTTTCCTATTTTGCACTTGCTAGGGGACCCACATGGAGCTATCTTATAACTTTTCAAGTCGGGTAAGCATTGTTTAGCCTGTTGTTGCAACATTAAGTGAAAGGCCGCTGTCTGTGCCACCTACGTAAGTGCTGCCGCACACGGCCTGTCCCCAGCATGAAGAAGTAGCTATTTATTTGGGGAAGTGTGGTCAAGTGGTGAAGGGTTGTGGTTGGAGCACGGGACTAGAAGTCAGGAAGACGTGCACACCAAAATCAGCTCTTGCAGGGCCTTTGGGAAGTCACTTCTGAGACTTGTTTGACAACTTTTGGCCTTTGTCTCACATACTGATTCCCCCCCCCCCAGTACCAG